TACGACTACTACTACTACTACCTACTACTACCTACTACTACCTACTACTACCTACTACCACCTTCTACTACTACTACTACTACTACTCCTACTACTCCTACTACTCCTACTACTACTACTACTACTGCTACTACAACTACTACTACTACTACTACTACTACTACTCTACTACTACTTACTACTACTACTCTACTACTACTACTACTACTACTACTACTACTACTCCTGCTGCTACTACTACTACTACTACTACTACTACTACTACTACTACTACTACTACTACTACTACTACTACTACTACTACTACTACTACTACTACTACTACTACTACTACTACTACTACTACTACTACTACTACTACTACTACTACTACTACTACTACTACTACTACTACTACTACTACTACTACTACTACTACTACTACTACTACTACTACTACTACTACTACTACTACTACTACTACTACTACTACTACTACTACTACTACTACTACTACCAGCAGTACCAATAAATAATAACAATACTACTACTCATGAGCACAAGAGTTTTCGTATTGATAATAATATTAAGGATCGGAGGAGGAGGAAGAGGAGGAGGAAGGAGGAGGAGGAGGAGGATGAGGAGGAGGAGAAGGAGGAGGAGGAGGAGGAGGAGGAAGAGGTCGTCGACGTCGTCGTCGTCGTCGTCGCCGCCGAGGCACTCGTGGCTGGGCTGCGGCCCGAGCTGGCGGTCTGGGCCGCGCGCCTGGCCCGCACGGCCGATGCGCGCCCTCTGCCGCGAACCTCCTCGCCGCCGCCGTCGGGTTCGCCGTCGGCGTCGCTGATGGCGTTGCTGATGCTGCCTGCCGCCTTTGCCTTCGCTCTCGCCTTCGCCTTCGCCGTCGCCGCCGCCACGCGGCTTTCGCCGCCGCCTTCGCCGTCTCCTTCGCCGCCGCTTTCGTCGCCAGTGCCGCCGCTGCTGTCGGCGTCGTCGGCGTCGTCGTCGTCTTTGTCTTTGTCTTTGTCGTCGTCGTCGTCGCCCGGGACGTCCTATGCGAACTTCCGAACCCATCCGAGAGCCTCCCTCTCTTCCTCGACGACGGCGACGCAATCGACGGCGGATGACGGCGGCGGTGGCGACGGCGACGGACGACGCCGGACGAGAGACGACGGCGGCGACGACGCCGGACGGCGACGACGACGGCCGACGACCGACCACGACGACGACGCACGCGGGCGGCGACCGACGGCGACGGCCAGCGACGGCGGCGACGGCGGCGTCCTGCGCCGGCCGGGCCTCGCTGCATTTGGCGGCGGCGGCCGAGGTGGTGCGCGTCCTGGCGCGCCTGCGCCACGCGGGCGCCCGCGCCGCGGCCGCGGCCGCGGCCGCGGGCGGGCGCTGTGGGCACTGCGGCACCGACGAGGCGGCGCGCCCGGACCCGAAAACCACCAGGGGACAGGCTCTGAGGGATGCATCGGCTCCCAGCCGCCCATTGGTCCAGTGCGCTGGCGAGGCGTGCCCCTGACTGGGTTGACCTAAGTGGCCCAAATGGCGCAAGTAAAGGGTTGACCCGAGTAGCCCAAGCAGCCCAAGCAGTCCAGCGCGGCGGGCGCATAATCACGCCCTGCTGACCGAGAAGGGCGGGTTGCCTTGCGCGCCGGGCCATTCGGGTCATTCGAGTCAGTCGAGCGATTACCCGAATCACCCTACTAGCCCGAGTAGCCCGAGTTGGCGAAAGCGAATCGTGCTGGGTGGGCGGGGCATTACACTGTGATGCGTAATCGAGTTGGTACGCGCGAGCCCCGACGGGCGGGTCGGGTCGGATGGGCGGGCGAAAATGCTAATTAGTAATGGTGTTGACGCAATGGCCATGGCGACGATGACGGTGCCGCGAAAGCGAGCTGTGCAGGGCGGGCGGGACATTAGAGTATGATGCGCAATCGAGCTGGCACGCGCGAGCCCCGACGGGCGGCTCGAGTCGGGCGTGCGGGACATTGAAGTGATAATGAGTGGTGCTGTTGACGGAGTGGCCATGGCGACGACTGCGGTGCCGCGGAAGCGGCTCGGGCCGGGCGGGCGGGACATTGATTGATTGAAGCACCATGTGTAATCGAGGTGGCAAGCGAGAGCACCGACGGGGGGAGTCGGGTCGGGCGGCGCGCCGGGCATCCCGACTGACCCGGGCAGCCCAAGCAGCCGAGGCGCGCGAGGCATTTTGGTTGACCTGCGAAGCCCGAGTGGCCCGAAAGGCACAGCGCGCGAGGCAGTCCGACTGGCCCGAGTAGCCCGAGCAGCCCAAGTAGCCCCAGCGCGCGAGGCATTCCGACTGCGGGCCATTTGGGCTACATGGGCTTCTCGAGCTATTGGAGCACTCCAACTGATTGGCGGCGCGCGACGCATTCCGATTGACCCGAGTAGCCCAATAGCCCAAGTAGCCCCCATCGAGCGAGGCATTCCACCTGACCCGAGTAGCCCAAGTAACCCGAATGGCCTGGCGCTCGAGGGGGCTATTTGGGCTACTTGGGCTACTTGGGTCAACCCTCTTATTGCTAAGGCCTTGCGGCCAGTGCCGCCGATCCTGAAGGGGAACGGTGACGTCGGCGGCGGTGGCGGCGGCGACGACGACGCTGACGTGGGCCCGAGTCCTCAGGGATGCTTCTTGGGGTCTCTTGGGAAGGCTCTTGGGGGCCTCTGGGGAGGAATTTTGGGTTCTCTTGGGAGCATCTTGGGGTTCTCTTGGGGACCTTCTCGAGTGTCCTGGGGTTGTGGGCTTCTTGGGCCCTCTTGGGGACCTCTTGGGGCCTCCTGGGAGCTTCTCGGGGCCGAGGGCTCGAAATGTCCGTTCGGGTTCCCCGTCAAGCCACGCTCTTGGAGCCGTCTTGGGGGCCTCTTGTGCCGTCTTGGAGGCGTTTGGACTGTCTTCAATGCGTTGACGGCCGATAGGGGCCCAACAACCCACCCCGCCCAGGAGCGCGCAGATTCGCAGTCGGGGGCCCATCACCGATCTGTTGGCGGTGTACTGCCGATTGCAGGCCGATGCTCTCCATTGAGCCAGTCACCCCCTGTCGCCAGTCCCCCCTCCCATTCTCCTCGCTCGGCTTGTGGCCGAGACGAACCTGAGAAGCTCTCGCTTTCGCTTTCTCTCAGTGTTCGACGTTTGCCATCAATACTCAATTTGTTGCCCAGCCCGCTCTGACCCGTTTCGGCATGGGCAGCCATCGGACGTAGAATGTGGTGCCCCGGGCCACGCTGGTGATGTGGATCTCGCTTGACCGCTTCTTCATCTCAAGCATAGCTGTATCGGCAATGTGAGCGGTTCGTCTTGCAGTTCGTAACAGCGCCAAACCCCCGGATAAGAAAGCGGTGCCACATTAGAAACAAATAATTGCTGCAAAGAGGAAGCATCATAGTTGCGCCAATTGTAGGGATCGTGCTACTGGACAGAAGATTGCGAAGATCGTCGCGACATGGTAACACCGTTTGCGCCAGGGCTGTTTCGTTCATGCGGTTGTGGTGGGCCGCTTTGGACGGTCACGTTCATTGGTTTGGCGTACTTGGTCTCGAGGTTGTCCTGCATGTTGCGTTCGAGAGAGGGCAGGGGAGAACGGGCGAGGCAACAACCGCTCCAGGGTGCGAGGTGTCAGGGAAGGCGCAGCCAAGAAGGCGAACAGAACAAGGCCCAAGAGTCCCGGGGAATAAACCAGGAGAGGGGACAGGGGGGGGTTCGGGCGCAGAGAACTATGCACATGCACCGGTCTTGGCCAGGCACATCCTTGGCCCCAGGATCGGTGCATCTGCCTTTCTGGCCAAGGCAGAAGGGCGCATGCACCGATCTTGGCCTCAGGATGGACCTGGCCAACATCGGTGTATGTGCATGGTTCTTTTTCCCTCTAGGGGTGAGTCCAGGGGGTCCAGCTGAACGGGAGGTTTGCGCTGGCGCCGATCAGATGGTCGGTGTCGGCGGCTCGGCGTCGTGTCAGCGCACGCCCTGCGGGCCTTCGCTGCTCCCCCGTGCGTGCTCACGGCGCTCGGCCTGGCCCGCAGCCGTGCCCAGGGCGTTGGGGGCTTCCCGGGGGCCTCCCGGGGCCCCTTTTCGGGGGCAGATTGGATCCTTCTCAGCCGTCTCGGAACATGTTTTCGGGGGCTCTCCAGGCGTTGTCCTGGCGCCGCCGTGGGTCGTCTTGGGGTTCTCTTGGGTGGCCTGGCCTCATGTGTGGTCAGTCCTGAGACGTCTCGAGGGGCGTGTTGGGGCCCCTCCTGGGCCGTCTTGGAAGATTATTGTGCCTTCGTCGGCAGTCTTGGAGCTTTCTGAAGCCATCTAGGAGCCGTGTTGAGCCGAGCAGCCGACTGGGCGAAACATGATGAGAACATCTCGGATTTTGACTGTCCTGGGTGTCCACGGCCTTCTCTTGCAGCGTCTTGAGGCTTCTCTTGGAGCCTCTTGTGTGCTCCCTCGGGTTTCCCGGGGCGTCTTGGAGCCTCCTGGACGGCTTCGGGCGCATTCTTGGCAGACTCCCGAGGGACATGGAGGAAGTTTGGGGGCGTAGACGGCTTGCGGGACACACTCCGGGAGGGCTCCGCGGATTCCGGCAAGGCGTGGGTCGAGGCCCCTCGACATGTTGGAATCCCTCCAGCACCCGCTGCGTGCACTACCCTGCGTGCAATGCACTCCTGGCTGATCCTTTGGGCAATACGTTGCGTGCTGAGGGCACGGTGGCGGATCTTGGTGGGGCGATCGGCCCGTGCCGAGGCGATCCTCCCGCCCAGGATCGAACATCAGTACATTCGAACATTCCAGGCCTTTTTTCTAGGGGTGAACCTCGCCTGTTCCCAGAGCCCCCCTGTGGTCGATCATGGCCAGTTTTTCTGTCCGCGCTGCGACGGGAACGTCTCGAAACGTCCGAAAGCATCCGAATGACGACGTCGTCGTCGTCTTCGTCGTCGTCGTCGTCGTCGTGGTGGTCGTCGTCGTCGTCTTTGGCGTCCTTGTCTTTGTCGTCGTCGTCGTCCTCGTCGCGCAGGTGGTGCAGCCTCTAGCCTGGGCGCCGTGCGGCCACCTGAGTTGCGAGCCGTGCGCGTGGCGCCATGCGTGCAGGACTCCCCCGCCCCCCCCCCGCGCGTCGTCGTCGTCGTCGTCGTCGTCGTCGTCATCGTCGTCGTCGTCGTCGCTGTCGTCGTCGTCGTCGACGCCGCCGCCGCCGCCGCCGCCGCCGCCGCCACTGTCGCCGTCGCCATCGCCGTTGCCGTTGTGGTTGGGCAGGGAAGGGGGAGGGAGGGAGGGAGGGGAGAGGGAAGAAGAGGAGGAGGAGGATGAGGAGGAGGATGAGGCTGAGGCTGAGGCTGAGGCTGAGGATGAGGCTGAGGCTGAGGCTGAGGATGAGGATGATGATGATGCTGATTATGATGCTGATGATTATGATAATGATTGTGATGATGCTGCTGCTGCTGATGATGATGATGATGACGATCATGATGATGCTGTTGATGATGATAATGATGATGATGACGATGCTGATGCTTATGATGATGAGGATGAGGTTGAGGATGCTGATGATGTTGATGATGCTGCTGCTGCTGATGCTGCTGCTGATGATGACGATGATGCTGCTGATGCTGATGATGATGCTGATGCTGATACGGATGCTGTTGCTGATGCTGATGCTGATGATGCTGATGCTGCTGCTCAGGATGATGCTGACGATGATGATGATGATGATGATGATGATGATGATGATGATGATGATGATGATGATGATGATGATGATGATGATGATGATGATGATGATGATCACGGTGGTGATGAGGTTGCTGCTGATGATGACGATGATAAGCTGATGATGAGCATGATGATGATGCTGCTGATGCTGATGCTGCTGATGCTGATGGTGATAATGATCATTATGCTGATGTTGAGTAATTTTATTCATATGCTGCTGATGATGATGATGTTGATGCGTGATGATGCTGATGATGCGGATGAGGATGATGATGGTGTTGGTGATGCTGATGCTGATGATGCTGATGCTGATGAGGATGATGATGATGATGATGATGATGATGATGATGATGATGATGATGACGTTGATGATGATGCCGATGCTGATGATGATGCTGATTCTGATGATGATGCAGATGATGATTCTGATGATGCTGATGATGATGACGATGTTGGTGGTGGTGATGCCGATTGATGATTATGATGATGCTGCTGCTGATGATGAGGACGCTGATGCTGAGGCTGATGATGCTGCTGCTGATGCTGCTGCTGCTATGGAGGAGGTGGAGAAATAGTAATAACAATACTACTGATAATAAGAAGAAGACGAAGACGAAACATAATACGAAGAATACACATTGTTATCAATAAACATCGTACTACTGATAAGAAGAAAAGAAATCACACATAATAATACTAATCAGCAGCTAATAATGAAACCGGAGAGCAGCCCCAGTCAAAGCCTTTTTAGGGCTATATGGCTGGGGCTATTGGGCTATACGGCGATGGGGATATGGGCCTATAGGGCTATGGGGCTATAGGGCTATAGGGCCATATGGCTATAGGTCTGTAGGGCTGCAGGGCTATGGAGCTCTGGGGCTATGGGGCTCTGGGGCTATGGGGCTATAGGGCTATAGGGCCATAGGGCCATGAGTCTATCGGGCTATGGGGCTATAGGGCTATAGGACCATAGGGCTATAGGGCGATAGGGATATATGGCTATGGGGCTATAGGGCTATAAGGCTATACGCACATACATATATTTGTGTGTATATATGTATGCATACCTGCATATTCATATCTATATCTATACATATATATACATGTTTATACATATAGCTATAGGTCTATAGGGCTATAAGGGCATTGGGCTATAGAGCTATAAGGCTACGGGGCTATAGGGCTACAGCACTATAGCGCTATTGGGCTATTGAGCTATCGGACTATATAGCTATAGGGCTATGGGGCTATAGGGCTATTGGGCTCTCGGGCCATGGGGCTGTAGGTCTACAGGGCTATAGGGCTATAGGGCTATAGAGACAGGGCTATAGGGCGATAGGGCTATAGGGCTATATGGGCTATAGGGCTATAGGGCTATCGGGCTATAGGGCTATAGTGCTATGGGGCTATTGGGCTATAGGGCTATTGGGCTATAGGGCGATATGGCTATAGGGCTATAGAGCCATAGGGCTATAGGGCTATAGGGCGATAGAGCACCAGGGCATCCGGGTACCCGGGCATCCCTGGGCACCTCTGGGCACTCCCGGGCACCTCCAGGCACCCCCGCGCACCCAGGCACCCGGTACCCCCGCGCACCCGGGCTGGTCACCGACATCGGCGACGCACCTCACATAACCATGTGAATCCGCTAGGACCCCTACAAAGGCAAACTCTGTTTGGGGACCTAATATGAATACTTAGATGTGTAGTACTATCAATGGTAATGCCAATAACATTAATACTATTCTATTGATACAATGAAGAATCATATATGTATAATGTTACTAATAAGAATACTAATATTGATAAGCGGAATTCTAGACGCTTCGCGTATCCCCACCAGCCCGTCCAGAAACGACGCCCAGGCGAGTAGAGGGTCGTCCTGAGGGGCTTTTCGGCGTCTTGGGTGCCTCGGGGGGGCCTCTGTGGGCCGTTCGGGATCCTCTTTGGGGCCTCCTGGGGGCCTCTTGGGGCCATCTTGGGGCCTTTGGGGGCCTCCTGGGCGCTTCTTGGGGCCTCCTGGGCGCTTCTTGGGTGCCTCTGGGGGGTCTCTTGGGGCCTCTTGGGGGTCTCTTGGGGGCCTCCTGGGGGCCTCTTGGGGGGCCTCGGAGCCATCTTGGAGGAGATCGATCAACGAAGGGGGGTTCCCTAATTCCAGTCCCCCCCTCAGGAGCCACGATCCTCGTGAGGGGTGTCGAATTTTAGCCCTCCCAGGGGTCGTTCTTGGACGCTCTAACTACCCGCGGCCCCCCCTGTCCAGGTCAGTGGGGAGGGGGTAGGGGGAGGGGTAAACCCCTCCCCGAAGGGGAAGAAGGAGGGGTGGAAGAGGAAACTCGTTAAACCACCGACGCCCAGAGGGCTGGTGGGATTTTAATAATCATACGAATGATAATATTACTACTCGTAAAACTAACAATAAGAAGAGGAGGAGGAGAGCAGGATGAGGAGGAGGAGGAGGAGGAGGAGGAGAAGGACGAGGAAGAGGAATAGAGGGAGGATGAGAGGAGGACGGCAAGAGGAGGATGAGGAATAGGAGAAGCAGGAGGAGGAAGAGGAGGAAGAGGAGGAGGGGGATGAGCTGGAGGAGCTGGTGGAGCAAGGCTGAGCGGCCAGGTTGCTGTGGTCTGCAGGGGCGGATGAAGGGAAGGCGGGCGTGCAAAAAATGCGGGGCAAAGTCCAGGAAGGGCATTGCAGGGGGAACTGCTTGTTTCGCCGACCACCGATTCGCCCAGCCAGTTTCGTCTGGCTGGTTTTGCCGACGGGTGCTTTCGCCGACGCTGGCTTCGCCTGGCTGGTTTCGCCGACCGACCGCGTGGAAGCAAACCCGCCCGCCCGCCCGCCGCCGCGGAACCAGTCCATGCGTCCGGTGGAGGGGCGGGAGGAGGGAGGGGGCGGCAGCGCAGGCTTCCAGGCGCCGCGCAACCGCACACGCGCACGCGCGCGACCTCTTCGTCCAGGTCGGTACCTCGGAGTCCAGGGGCGCCGTGGTCGGGCCTCGTGGCCGGCACGGGGCGGCCCGCGGCGAGCAGCTGTTTTCCCCGGGAGGGGGTCGGGCCCGCGGCGTGCACGCGAGAGGAGGGGGAGGGAATCGCGAGACTGCGACTCGTCCATCCGCATACACCCTGGTTCTGGCCTGGCCGGTCCTCGGCCTTGTTTTTGTTTGTGTGTGTATGCATGTATGCATGTATGCATGTATGCATGCCTGTATACCTGTATGCATGTATGCATGTATGCATGTATGCATGTATGTATGTATGTATGTATGTATGCATGTATGCATGTATGCATGTATGCATGTATGCATGTATGTATGTATGTATGTATGCATGTATGCATGTATGTATGTATGCATGTATGCATGTATGTATGTATGCATGTATGCATGTATGCAGGTATTTATGTATGTATGTATGTAGGTAGGTAGGTAGGTAGGTAGGTAGGTAGGTATGTATGTATGTATGTATGTATGTATGTATGCATGTATGTATGTATGCATGTATGCATGTATGTATGTATGTATGTATGCAGGTATGCAGGTATGCAGGTATGCATGTATGCATGTATGCATGTATGCATGTATGCATGTATGCATGTATGCATGTATGCATGTATGTATGCATGCCTGTATGCCTGTATGCATGTATGCATGTATGCATGTATGCATGTATGCATGTATGCATGTATGCATGTATGCATGTATGCATGTATGCATGTATGCATGCATGTATGTATGTATGCATGTATGCATGTATGTATGTATGTATGTATGTATGTATGCAGGTATGCAGGTATGCAGGTATGCAGGTATGCATGTATGCATGTATGCATGTATGCATGTATGCATGTATGCATGTATGCATGTATGCATGTATGCATGTATGCATGCATGCATGCATGCATGTATGCATGTATGCATGTATGCATGTATGCATGTATGCATGTATGTATGTATGTATGTATGTATATATGCATGTATGCAGGTATGCATGTATGCAGGTATGCATGTATGCAGGTATGCATGTATGCATGTATGCATGTATGCATGTATGCATATATGCATGTATGCATGTATGCATGCATGCGTGTATGCATGTATGCATGTATGCATGTATGCATGTATGCATGTATGCATGTATGCATGTATGCATGTATGCATGCATGCATGCATGCATGCATGTATGTATGTATGTATGTATGTATGTATGTATGTATGTATGTATGTATGTATGTTTGTATGCATATATACGTATACACCTTTTTTGTTTTTATATAAAAGCATGCTTTTTAACCGTTGCGTGTTTATCATGACTGCCAGCGCCTTCCAGAACAGGCCAGGTGGGAAGGGGGCGTGTCCACCGCCCCAGGGCCCACAGATGCACGTGTGCAGCTGGCGGGCCGGCGGTGGCGAAGGAGGTTGGGGGCAGACGAGGGGGTGGCATTAACTCGGGCACGTCCCTCTACAGGAGGAGTGGACAAACATAGTCCAAAAATAGTCTGGGGACGATTTTTGATTCTTTGTGAGTATTTTTGAATCTTCTTTTGACTATTTTTATTTTGTCTCCAGCATCCGCCTGCAGGGGGACATGCCCGACCCTGAGGGTGGCATTGCGACGCTGCGAGCTCCAGCCAGCCACCCGCCCAGGGCCCTCAGGAGGCCAGGCCCCAGACCCGGGGTCCACTTCGATCCGATCGATCCGTTTCGACGCCGATGCCGGCCTGCCTGATCCGAATGGATTCCGATGGTCGAAAGAGCGCTTTCTACCATTACTCACCGAGCGCGTTCCACTACTCGCAAAGTGCCTACTCGCAAACGTCCGAAGAAGCACGTGTCTTCCTCTACTTAATGGATCGTCAATTCCCCGCGGCGGATCCAGGCCACTTGCGAGCAGTTACTCTGCGAGTCGTGGAACGCGCTTGTCTAGAAAGAGCGCTTTCTCTGGCAAGCCCCCCTCCCCCCAGTTTGAACCGGGGGTGGGTGGGCAAACTCTCCCCCCCTCCTCAGGGGCAACGATAGGGGGGGGATAGGCATAGGGGGGGATGCATCGACCCCCAATCGCCCATTGATCGCCGATAGGGGCCCGATAGCCCCACCTGCCCAGGAGGGTGCGGATTCACTACCGGGGGCCCATCGCCGATCTATCGGCGATGTATCGACGATTCTAGGTCGATGCATCCCCCCCTGTGCCAGTCCCCCCCTATCGTTGCCCCCCCAGCCTCCCCTCCGAACCAGGGGGGGGGGGCCGGCTCCGCCCGTGGTTTGACCGGGGGCCGGGGCGGGGGGGGGGGGGGCAAAGTCCATACGAAGCTCAGACAGAGTTCGAACATTGCTTGAGCAAAGCCCGAGCAAGTGCCAAGCAAGTGCCAAGCAAGTGCCAAAGAAAGCTCCGACGAAGCTCCGGCAAAGCTCCAAGAAAGCTCCAACAGAGCTCCAACGGAAACTCAAGCAAAACTCGAGCCCGCGCGGGCGGGTGCGGCAAGTGGGGCAAGTAAGGCAAGTGGGGCGCATTTCGAATGGTGGCGCATGACGTCGCCCTTCTCGCACAGGTGCCTGGCCCCCCCCCCCCCCCGGGCACCTAGGGGGGGAGGAAGGTTGAACCTGGAAATTCCCCCCAAGCCCGAAAACGGACAGGGCCAAACATGACATCCCGACAGGGGCGAAACCCGAAAACTCAGGAGGTCCAAACCCGAAACTCCAGGAGCCGACAAGCTGGGACGGGGCCTATCTAGAAAAGCTGAGGTGGGGATCTCGAACGAGGCAGGGCGAGGTGTAGTGGGCGGCAGGGGGAGGTCGGAGGAGTGGGAGGGGGCAGGAGATGGTAGCATGGACGAGGAGCTAAGACAAGCCAGGGTGCAGCTGGAGGAGGCTAGTGGACGTAGGAGGAGGCAGGGCAAGGCAGACGGAGGTAGGAGACCTACGAGGGCAACGGAAGGGTAGTAGGGCGGTACAAAAATCCATACGTGGATTTCTTGGGCTTATCGGGTTCTGGGTAGCGCGTCGGCGAATGGTGTTTTCCATCGGGCACCTCAGCGTGGTCCGCTTATGGTTTCTGCGTTTCTGGTGGTCGCTTTTGAGTTTTTTTTTGCTGTCTGCTAGCCCGTCGTTGCCCTACTGCGAATGGAGTGGCGGTGTATTCGTTCCCGCCCCGCGGCCTCGTGGCGGATCGAATGGAATGTTAGTTTTCGCCTCCCAGGCGTTGCCACGTGGCGAGTGGACTGAGATGTGCACACGTGCGGTCCGCGCGGCACTGCCGCGTGATGAGTTAGAACGGAGGTCCACCTCTTGTTCGGTTTCCGTGCCACTGCCGCGCGGCGAGTGGAGTTGGTATTTTGGTTTGCCTCTCAGGCCTTGCCGCGTGGCGTTGCCATGTGGCCAGCAGAGCGGAGTAGCATGTGTTCCAGGCCTGCCTTGTTGCCACGTGCCGAGCAGTGGCGCAATTTGGTTTCGCCCAGGAGGCGCTGCCACGTGGCGAGCGCAATGCAGTAAATCGTATTTGTTCCTCCCTCCGCGCGTTGCCACGTGGCAAGGAGAGTGGAGCAGTATCTCTTTCGATCCCTTGGCGTTGCCACCCTGCGCGGGCGGCCGGGTGGGCGCGCGCTGGCGCGCGGGCGGGCGGGCGGGCAGGCGGGCGCGCGGGCGGACGGGCGGGCGGACGTGCGCGCGCGCGCGGGCGGTCGGGCGGGCGGGCGGGTGGGCGGGCGGCGGGAGCGCGCGCGCGGGCGGGCGGGCGCGCGGGCGTTCATTCCGCAGTCGCTGCCACGTGGAGGGTGCAATGGACTAGTATTTGTTTCCCCCTCCGAGCGTTCTCACGTGGCGAGGAGATTGGAGCGGTTTTTGTTTCGCTCACCTGGCGCTGTCACGTGGCAAGTAGTTACGTGGGACGAAAGATTTTCCTCTTGAGGTGCAAATGGCGATGAGGAGTTCGCGAGACAACATCGGCGCCGCCGAACGGACGGCGTCTGGACGAGCTGCGTGCAGCAACAGGGAGAAGAGAAACGTATCCATGTTGAGTGAAACCCGCGCTCGTGGAAATTTGATGGGGCAGGGCCTATAATGGGAAGTTGATGACCGAACCCCCCTTTCCCCCGTAGGATCTTAACACGGGCGGGTTCCGGGGTCCGCAGATCCGATTTCGTCCGCTTCCCCGTTTGAAACTATCAAAATAATGAGTTTAAAACGGGGTAGAAGTCGGATCCGCCGTGACAGATAAGACTGGACGTGGACCCAGAAAATCCGAAATCGGATCCGCGCGGACGGAAACATGATCCACCAAAACAGAAACCAAAACCAACATTGGATCCGCGCGAACTTCGTTGTATCCCACATCGGTTTCCTCATACGCGTCCGCTCAGGACTTCACACCGTCGTTCACGGCCCAAGAAAAACAACTTTTCGTCTTGGCGATGTAGGGTGAAATAATGGCTGTTCCGCCCCGCAGGCAATGCCACGTGGCGAGTCGTGGGCTGGAGTAGTTTCTGTTGTGTCACTTGCCATTCGTCTCCAGCTGACAATTCGACTGGGATCTCATCATCGTTTTCCGTCCCGCAGGCGTTGCGCAGGCGCTGCCACGTCGCGAGGAGAGTGGAGTAGCATACATTTCGCCCACCGGGCGTTTGCCATTTCCGCTCCGCAGGCGTCGCCGCGTGCCGAGTAAAAGGGGCGAGGGGGGAGGAGGGAGGAGCGAGGAGGGAGGGAAGGGGGGAACAAAGCTCCATCAATGTTCCAACAAAACCCAACAAAACCCCAACAAAGCTCAAACAAGCTCAAGCAAACTCCATCCAACAAAGCTCAACCACTGTTCAACCAAATTTGAAACATAGCTCCGACAACGCTCTGGCAAAGTTCAAACAACGCGCACAAAAAAAACATCAAACAAAGCTCGGGTATGGCCCGTGGCCCAGCCCCAGCCCCAGTCTCTGGCTTGCCCCAGCTAGCCCTGGCCTCCGTTCGAACTGGGAGGCAGGGGATTTTACCCCCCCTGGTTCGAACGGGGGGGTGGGGATTCTGCATCCCCCCCTTCCGTTTTCTGGGCAGGGGGGGTCCCCTCCAAACCCGTGGCCCCCCTGGGAGGGGGGGGATTGAAACAAACCCCGTCCCAGTTTTCCAGGGGAGGTTCAGTCAAGCGACGGTAGATCGCGCTCCCTCCGATAGTCCGACGATCCGAACCTGATCGTCGGAATATCGGAATCGACCGCCTCGGATCCTCCGATGCGGTCCGATGCTTGCCTCGCGTTGCTGGGCATCCTGGAGCTGCCGATCCGATTCGACCTCGATCTCGTGCCCATGCAGCCCGATCCGATGCACATCCCGATCCGATCCGATCTGCCCTCCGAGGAGGCCTCCGGGGCGGCCCCCGCGGGCTCCGCGCGGGGCTCTCCCGGCGGCGGCCCCCCGAGGTCGCCGCCCCGAGGCCGCCCGGGGGGGGGCCGCCCGAGGAGGGGCTGGTGTTCCGAGGCCTCCGAGGGGCAGGCGTGTCTGTCGGGGGCGGCCAAGAGCTGCCCGTGTGGAACATATCCCCATGCCTGCGTTTGGCACCGCCTCACCTCGGTGCCGACCTTAAAAGGCTTCCCTCAGTTTCCGAGGGCACATCCCCAAGATTGTCCCTGCTTTTTGCTCGCCCATCGTAGGGATAGGGATAGGTTCGAGGCTGGTCCAAGAGGGGGGTGATGGTTATGGGGGGGTGGATTTCATGGTCGGGGCCATGATGTCTCCTCGAATTTCATGGCGCTCTTCTTCTTTCAACACGTCCCTGGGCCCCCCTGGGCCGCGCACGTGCCGGCGGCCATGATTCGGCCCCCCCCTTTTCTGTTCGGCTCCGCCGATAGCGCGCAGCCTGTTTCAGTCCTCGTTGCGCCGCCTGCGTCGTATTGAAGAGCCTCGCTGGACAAGCCCAATCCGCGCTGGGATTTTTGAGTCCGCGGGCGCCAAGTGGTCTAAGAAAGTCAGACGCCGGTCAGCAAGCGGTGGTGCGCACCAGGAGCGAATCAAAGGGCACGAAGGCGGAAAGGAGCACAGCGCGACGGGGGGAGGAGGGATGAGCACGCTCAGACGACGAGAGCTGCCGCGGGGATGCCGAAGTAGATCATGCATGACGTTCGCGCGAACACGTTCTGAGAATCCTCGAGGAGGGCGCGCGGGTCCGCCCTCTCCGCCGCTCCGCCCGGGGCGCGCGCAGAGGCTGGGCTCGTGCGCGGGCGCGGAGCTGCTGTGCCCGAGGCCGGGCGCCCCCCCTGCCGCGGCCCCCGCCTCTCGGGGGCCCAGGTGCTGCTTGCCCGCCCCTCTTCTCACTTTCCCTCAAGCTCGCCGCGGATTCTAGGTCTGCCAGACGGGATCGGCGTAGACTGAGTCGGGGGATCGCGCTGCATCGGCGATGCATTGGCGATGCAGCTCGAAGTGGAGCCCGATGATCCCCACGCCGATGGCGCCGGTGCATCGCCGACGTATCGCCGATGCATCGGAGATTCATCGGCTGCGGCCATTTCTCGGAGGTATGGAGGTTGACACTAACACCGTTATCGGCGGTGTGCCTCCACGGAAGAAAGATCATCCCGATCTCGATGATGGTGGTAATGTTCGGGCTTTCTAGGTGGCCGAAATATCAATACCACCAGCTCCACTATTGAGGATCACCTTCCCCTGGTGTAGGCAACCCCGTGTGTTGGCGTTGGTGCCCATTTTCAGGCGTCCAACAATCTCACCACTGGAGTACGTTCATAACCTCCGCTTCGGAGTCGCCGTTCTACGGTTCACTCCCCTCAGATTTTGGCGTCATATTTCTCAACCATCCTGTGGTGTTGGGTCCTCGTTTTGAAGAGACGGTCCCCGCGTTCCTCTTCACTCTTTCCTTCCTCCCCCTCCTCCCTCCTCCCTGCGTTTCACCCACCCAGTACAGCGTTTCGTGGTCGCATAGGGAGCTCCACCGAAGGCCCCAGTGGCAGGGTTCGCATGGCGGCCTCGGGCCATTTCGGCACACCCCTCACGAGGATCGTGGCCCCATAGGAGCTCCACCGAAAGCGCCAGTAGCAGGGTTCGCATGGCGGCCTCGGGTCATTTCGGCACACCCCTCACGAGGATCGTGGCCCCATAGGGAGCTCCTCCGAAAGCCCCAGTGGCAGGGTTCGCATGGCGGCCTCGGGCCATTTCGGCACACCCCTCACGAGGATCGTGGCCTCATAGGGAGCTCTACCGAAAGCGCCAGTAGCAAGGTTCGTATGGCGGCCTCGGGCCATTTCGGCACACCCCACGAGGATCGTGGCCCCATAGGAGCTCCACCGAAGGCGCCAGTAGCAAGGTTCGCATGGCGGCCTCGGGCCATTTCGGCACACCCCTCACGAGGATCGTGGCCCCATAGGAGCTCCACCGAAAGCCCCAGTGGCAGGGTTCGCATGGCGGCCTCGGGCCATTTCGGCACACCCCTCACGAGGATCGTGGCCTCATAGGGAGCTCTACCGAAAGCGCCAGTGGCAGGGTTCGCATGGCGGCCTCGGGCCATTTCGGCACGCCCCTCACGAGGATCGTGGCCCCATCGGAGCTCCACCGAAGGCCCCAGTGGCAGGGTTCGCATGGCGGCCGCCACCAACTGCAAGAGTGTGGAGGAATATGGGTGAGGAGGGTGAGTTGCCTCTTTCTTCCGTGGGAGGGGAGGAGCAGGTGTGGCGCTTCAGGAGAGCCCTCGCCGTCGAGGGGTCGGGAGCCTGATCTCTTCACCTCGTCGGCCGAGCTCCGCCCCCTGAGGCCTCCCAGGTGGGTCCAGAGTTCGACTACGAAGAGCCCGGATGCATACAAACTTTCGGAGCTCCGTGCAGATTTCTGGCACCCGCGCTGGGCCCCCCCGTGGAGACGCTTCCAGCGCTGCCCCCGGCGAGCTTCGCGCGCCAAGGCAGGGTGCCCAGCGCAGATCCAAGACTGTCGCGCGCGCCGTGGAACGTCTGTG